TGGTCGTCAAAGTTTGGCAAGTTCAATAGCTGAAGAGTCTGTGAAAACAGAAAAATGTCATATTATTATGTTGTGCCTTTAAGCAATGTTTTCAGTAAAATTCACATGGAAATATTTATTATGTTGGTTTTTTAAAAATTACTTTATTTATTTATTTATTTATCTATTTATTGGGGGGGAGTACAATAGAATGGGAGAAGACATGACGGTGCTATGTTGTTGAAGAGAAGAGTCTAAGTGGGTGCAAACTGTTTGTTTCAGGATACATTATTTTGTGGTGTCTTTTCATCTGGTCGGTCTGTCTGTCTTTAGGGGATGCCGGGGGGGGAGGGACTTTTGATGGACAGATGGAGAAATAAATTAAGGTCAGGATTAAAATTTGCCTCGCAGAGAGAATGGGGGGGAGGGGGGTCAAAAGTATATTAATACATCATGTATGTTGCTCACAAGCCGCACGCATTTCTACGCTGTATTATTTGGAGGTAGATACTGGCCACTTAGCTGCGACAACTTGTCAAGGCGATAGGAGTTTCTGATCTGTAACAACCGACAGAGTATATAATACTGGCTGGGCCCCCTTTCGATGAAAGGAATGATTGGCAGTGCCTATACGTTCTTACACTAACCGTTCTCTGACCATCTAGGCCGGTGCTTTTATAGCAATTAAAAGTCATTGGCCTACTATATTTACACTCTACTGGAATGGGGCAATAAATCTTGAGAGATGCAAAAAATTAAAAGGTCTAGATCTATACTCTCAAAACTAAACGCGCCTCGCGAAATATCACTTCCAGATTTTCTAAAATTACACAGACAGAAGCGTCAGCCTACAAAAGCGATCGGCGAAATAAAGAAATTTAGCTTTTTGCAGCAAAACTTTCTCAAAACTGAAAAAACTAAGGGCGTCATGCTCTGGAGAATATTTTAAAGAATCTTTTGGCGAAAACCGCATGTCGATCGATGCAGCCATTAAAAAGCCTTTTGAATAGCAACATTCGGCCACCACAAATAGATAATAGATATGACTGAAAAGAAAAAGGCAGGGGTGGTGGGGAAGAAGGTGGTGGGGGGGTGGATTCTAAAGGAAGATGAAAGACCTATGTTGAGCAAGGACTACAAGACTGAACGTTGCGAGTAAATTATTAACCTGGGAGAAGGGTAAAGGTGGGGTGGGCGACAGGGAGGGGGGGGAGGAGGGGGGAGATGGGAATGAGGGAACTGGCAAGTAAAGAAGTGTTGTGAGGTGACCATTTGTTCTGTCCGCTGTACCAGCCAGGGGTGTGGGGAACTCAGTCAGTTGTACAGCCACTTCGAGAATTTTATACATGCATGTTTTATGTTACATATAATATTAATATTATAATGTACATGTTTTATTTTATATATATATATATATATATATATATATATATATAATATGTATATAATATATATTATATATATTATATATATATATATATACATATATTAAGGGTTTATGACAAAACACGATACATCCATTTTAGCTAAGCCGTTATTTCCAGATTTCTTGTAAGACTCATCCTGTTGCTGCACAGATATTTTGATTTATTTCACTCAATAGACAGCATTGAAAGGTAACCCCATGCCAAAATTTGAAATCAGTACTTGAATACATGAACAGTAGACACCATTTGATATTCCCTGTTTTGACAAAATATCCAATATATCCATATATCCATTGATGGCTTTTTTTCACAAAACACTGTAAATCCATCAGGTAACAATAGCTTTATTAAATGAAGTAAATTCTGCCTAAAATCAAAGGTGATTGCGTAAAATAGAAAGAATGAAAACAATACTAGTCAGAATTGTGAAAATTGTTGTTTTCTCAAGTTATAATCACAGTGGAGTCGACTCGAATACAAATCAGCTGTTTTCCACTTCGTCGTCAATAACGATGGGGGCCATCGCTAGGAAATCCCTATTTTTTTCCGATGCTCTGATTGGTCGGGAGGAAGTATCGCAGTTTGTCAAAAATTTGCAGTGACGTAATATATCGCATTTTGCCGCGAAACAGCAGATTTAGATTATGTTTTCAATGGGTGGTAAAGCGTTTTGCAAAAAAGTAATGTTATTCCGGCCTTCCTACTTCACATGTGATTTTATCAAAGGCATCACTTTAAGAGATATGATTTTGGAGTATATCGCATTTTGTCACGGAACCCTTCATATATATATATACATATATCTATATATCTATCTATCTCTCTATCTATCTATCTCTCTATCTATATATATATATGTATATATATATATATACTATATAATTATTTTATATATGTATTTTTATATGGCAATGGTGCTTGTCTTGCTTCGTCAGCGTAAACTGTTCAGAGAATTGCTTTTGTTTCCTTTCTCTGTTTTTCCATGAAAGAAATGCCTTCGATTTCCACATTCCAGAAATGAAAAAAGCAAAACGTGTCATGATGCTTCTTTTGATTTTGATTTTTGATTTTTTTTATTTTTTTGTTTTTGTTTGGTCAAACTTGTGTTGATCAAGAAAAATGTTCTGCCATTCTGTAGAATAGCTCGATTGTTTTATCATGTTGAAATTTTTGACGAAATATATTTCACAAAATACGTGTACGTACATATTTGGTTTTTGGATGAAAGTATAGACAAGTCCTAAAACAATATGTGAAGTGCGCTGACAAAATGAGTTACTTCTCGGATTCGAGCCCTATAAAATTAGATACATCACGCTTATAGGTGAACATTGTACGATTTATAAGTATGAAATAATAAAAGGCATGTTATACTTTAACTTTAAGTATATGGCTTCAATAGAAAATCTACAAATTTGACCCCAGTGTCTATTTTTGGCCAATATCTCCATTTGTGGATTGTGAGAAGTAACTCATTTTGTCAGCACCCCTCACATATGCCCCCACACACAGTCCTCCCTTCACCAAAGTATTCCAGGCTTGTTGTGTGTTGACAGATCAGACAAGTGGGACTCAGCTGGGACTGTGCTGTATTTTCTCACAGCGGACACAAAACTAAGGACAACTTTTGGCCGTATTTCTTTCCACACATGTTTTAAAAAAAAATAATTTTGTTACAATTTTCGATCCTTTCAAAGGGTGGAGAAAATGCTTTTGTATATTCCAATTTGTGCAGAATTCATTGAGCAGAACTGATTTCTTGTAGGTTAGAACCTTGTGACTGTCTCACCTATGTATCACCCTCCCTTGTTCTCTCCACACACACGACTGTCTCACCCATGTATCACCCTCCCTTGTTCTCCACGCACACGACTGTCTCACCCATCCATCACCCTTCCTTATCGTCTACACATGACTGTCTCACCTATGTATTACCTTCCCTTGTTCTCCACACACACGACTGTCTCACCCATGCATCACCCTCCCTTGTTTTCTCCACACATGACTGTCTCACCCATCCATCACCCTCCCTTGTTCTCCACTCACACGACTGTTTCACGCATGTATCACCCTCCCTTGTTCACAACACACAACTGTCTCACCCTTGTATCACCCTCCACACACGACTCACCCCTCCCCGTCTGTCTCACATCATCACGGCTGTTGTATTGCAAGCTGTTCCCTGGTACAGCTGTCATGAATGTTTACGTGTGCCAGGATGACTCGAACTTTGTTGTTGTCGAAGGCTTCCACAAAATGTTTCCACAAATGATCCCTTGTGATTCCCTGTGCTTTCTACGAGCA